TTGATGAGTCTTTGCCAAATCAAATCCTTGATGATACTGATAATATTGTTTATGATGAGGAAGATGTCCCACAAGTTCCTCTTGAAAATGAAAGTGAACAACTTTGGACTGGAGTTGGTGGAGTTACAGGTTATGGAATTCCTCCAGATGAGGATCCTTATAATTATGTACAAGATCATTAATTTTGTTATTTGTTTATAATTGTCACTTGACAAAAACAATTGAAGAACTCTTGTGATGAACCATTAGGTATCTGTTTCATCATTCAATCTTTTTAACTTTTATAAATTGAATGTGATTTGCTATCATCTATTTAATGATTGTCATTATCTTAATGTCTTTAACTTAAACCATCTAAAGTATCTTTGCTTGAGTTATAATGGGTTTAGGTTAATGGTTGAAAAAAAAAAAAAAGAATTGTTACTAACTCAAAAGGTTTTTTCAAATCTTGTCCTTAATTACATTAATTTCTTTTATAAAAATATATTTATAGCGATAAATTGAAAACGGTACGCGAAAAATTTCAGTATCCGATACGTACCGTTCCCGTAACAAAACTGGTACGCAGGCCGGTACGATATTGACTCCTTTGCCTTTGAGCCCATTAGCTATTGGCTTTTCTAGCCCATTCGATCTATAAGAGCTTGCGTCAATCAACTATCTGCTTCTCAACTCATTTGTTCTATGAAAGCTCAGTTCAATCTTAACTCTACAAAGCACAACCCTCAAAGGGGTTTGATTTTATGCTATGACTCGAGAGACCAAGATTTTCTTATGGGCATCTCAAGGTGAGATTCTATAGTAGGCATCTCTAGCTACCAAAATTGGCATTCAATCAACTCTACAAAAACTGGTTCTGATCCTAGCTCTGTAGAGCATGACTCTCAGAAGTCTGACTTCCATTATTATGGCTCATGAGGTTGCAAATTGTCACTTTCGAGTCGTCATTTTCAGGTCATCATTCTCAGCTACAACCATTACACATGACTATGGGTCATGCATCTTTACTTCGACTACGGCCATAGTGACCCCGAGTCACATTTTATTTCGGCTCCGGCCATACGACTCCGATAATTACTTATTACCTCGGCTCCGGCCACATGATTCCGATCATTACTTATTACCTCGGCTTCGGTCACATGACTCCGGTCATTACTTATTACTTCGGCTCCAGCCACTATGACTATGGTCATCATTATTTACCTCGACTCCAGCTATAGTGACACCGAGTCACCAGTTCTACTTCGATTCCAGCCATAGTGACCCCAAGTCACATATTTTACTTCAGCTCCGACCATAGTGGTCCCGAATTACATTTTACTTCAGCTCCTGCCATAGTGACTATGCGTCACCTAGTTTACTTCGGCTCCGGCCATGGTGACTACACGTCACCTATATTACTTCGGCTCTAGCCACAGTGATTGAGTCATCAATTTTACTTCAGCTACGGCCATAACACATGACTTCATGTCATGCAATTTTACTTCAACTACGGCTATAACACATGACTTCGTGTCATACATTTTTACCTTTGCTACGGCCCAAAACACATGACCCTGTGTCATGCATTTTTACTTAGGCTACAGCCCTAACACATGACTCCGTGTCATGCATTTTTACCTCGGCTACGGCCCTCTCACATGACTCTATGTCATGCATTTTTACCTCGACTGCAGCCAAAAACATGACTTCATGTCATACATTTTTATATTGACTACCCCCATCTACACTCATCTTCCACACTAATCATTCACAAGTGAATGACTTCGAGGGGAGAATAGTGTAAGGATAGGTCCGAGGTTGAGGACCTCGGACGTACTGTAGCAATTCCTTAATAGCCGAAGTGAAGCTAAATCCAGCACTTCTGGTCAAACAGCTGCACAGTAAATACAGTAGGCATGCCCATACCTGATTTATCACACAATCCCCCGGTCCCGAATTTGTCGCCGGTCCCGAATTTATCTCTTTAAGGGACACGTCAGACTCCGATCATCCTGCTAAGCAAGCCACGTGCATACCTCACAAAGGCCTATAAATACCCCCCAGGGACCACCTCAAAAAAGTAATTGAAACCATCCTAAAGCTCCTTTTTCATTAGTCCAGAGATAGACCCGATTATTGCTGACTTAAGCATCGGAATGTCTACCCCGAGGACCCACCTCGAGGCTTTGCAAGTTCATCCGAAGTGAAGACGTAGATTGAAAAAGGATCTCTGGTTTGGTGCAATTACACATCCCTGAGATTGTAATTGAATTAATTACAAAAAGCTACTAAAGCAAAATCATTATGGAGCAACACAGATCTTGAAGATTCAAGAAACATGTTCGCATGTGCTGTAGTGCATCGCCAAGAGAAAGTGGCACAATTTCTTCATGAAAATGTTGCAAGCAATGATACAAATATGGTCACTACCATCGATGAAGATGGGAACAATATATTACACCTAGCTGCAAAATTAGCTCCTCATTCTCAACTAGATCACATCTGTGGTGCCGCTTTGTGGTTACAAAATGAACTACACTGGTTCAAGGTAATCTTATCTTTTAGCTTGCTTTGTTATTTCAAATTAATTGTCTCACTTAATATATCTATAAATTATGAAACAAATGCAGTCGGTGGAAGGTATTGTTCCACAGTACTTCCAAAGCCAGAAAAATAAGGATGGTGAAACTCCCACCCAATTGTTTGTTAGGGAACACAGGCATTTGCTTAAAGAAGCTGAAGCATGGATGAAAAAAGTGGCAGAATCTTGTACGGTTGTAGGTGCTCTTGTTATTACCATTTTGTTTGCGGCGGCTTTTATTGTTCCTGGTGGGAACAATGAAAAAACAGGTTTACCCATATTTTTGAAAAATGAGACCGATTCTCCCCCCACAGCATCAATAACGCCTCCTCCCACAACATCAATAACTCCTCCTCCCGCAGCACCGATAACTGTGGTACCGTTCATGGTGTTTGCAATCTCAGATGCAATTGCTCTTTTCGCTGCATCCAGTTCAGTGCTAATGTTTATAGGGATTCTCACTTCTCGATATGCTTTTCAAGATTTCCATATATCCTTACCCATTAAGTTGATTATTGGTCTTTCTTCACTCTTCATCTCTATTGCAGCAATGATGATGGCATTTTGCGCTACTCTATACCTAATGCTGCATGATCAATTGCGGATAATCATTCCAATAATATTTCTTGCTAGTATTCCTGTCACTGTGTTTGTTTCGTTGCAGTCTGTTCTTCTTGTTGAGATTTATACCTCAACTTTTCGCCCAGACATCTTTTATAAGAGAAAGTACCTGAAAGGCAGAATGAGATTTTGCTTGAACTTAAATAGGAGATGGTGGTTCAGAACGAGGAAAGGAACGATGGTTGTCATGTTGTGTGCTCTTGCTTTACTTTTTGTATTTTCAAATGTAATTTCATATTATTGGTATATATATGTTGTTTATCGTGACAACTTCTATTACTGATCAGATGACTATATGCTAAAGACAGAAATTTGTAATGAATAGCAATTCCTCTCTGACCGTATAAACAGAGTATACCTCTTTATTTTTTATAATAAGATTCCAACGAATCAGATTTGAAATTCTTTTATATGTGACCTTGATATAGTTGCGGAGATTAAAACCATTAATTACACGGATGGAAAGTGGTATACATAAGCTATATACTTTGAACATACTGTATTTGATCTGGTTATGAATTGTGGAGGACTAACCAACCTGGCATACTGGCAGCAGTTTCGAGAGGCAGACAAACAACATGTTTTTGGGGGACAATGCATTCCAGTCAGGCCCTTGCATAATTAGTAAATGAAGACTTAGGCGGAACAACCAATATTGATTTGAAGTTGATGTTTTTGCTTCCTTATATCTTGATTATATATTGATTTAGGGTAAACTATACAAATGGTCACTGACCTTTATCATAACTTTCAATTTAGTCACTGTCCTTTTAAATTTGTAAATTTAGTCACTCACTTTTGTTTTAACCTGCCCCATTAATCAGTTTACGTTATCTCCCTAAACGCCGTTTGATTTTCTCCCCAAATGCCATTAGGTGGGGTGACAAGAGGGCGTCGGCTAAGCAAAAATTTGATGACTAATTTCATTCAAGGTATTTTGATAAACGAAGAGAGTAAGAAATAATTTTATTAAGAATATTTTAATAATTTTAATAAATACAATATGACTTGTAAAAATGAATTTCATTTAATTATAAAAATAACTTATAAAAAAAATAAATAGATAAAAAATAAAAACATGTTACATGTATGATCACTTAAATAGGCCAATCAAAAAAAATACATGATTCAATCCCAATCCTCATGGATATATGATTAAACCTAAAGTAACGTATTTTATTTTGTTTTATTACTAACACAGAGTCAATACATAGTATTTTTCTTATTAGGTCTTCAGTCCTTCTACAAACTTAATAAAAATGTTTATAACTATAGTTATTGTCACTATCAATATTGTTAAAGTCATAAAAGTTTTGGTTTTTTTTAAATAGTACTTGAAAATGTCAATTCGTTTACTTATTTTAATTTGTTAACTAATAAATATTTATTATTTCATAAATTATTAGCTGATAGTTATAGTTCTTAGTCATTTTTATTGGTTAAATTAAACAAAATTATATTTTTAAAGATAATATTTTACAATTTTGATAACCATGCATAATTATACCTGATATCTATCATACAAAAGTATCGTTTTAATCAATATACGTATACAACCCTGTTTATTGTTCTAGGAATAAAAATAAAAGTGTAAGCAAAATATTAAATAATTGGTATGTAGTTGTGTATAACAAATCTATATTCTAATCTTACTGTAGCTAAACAAAAGTGGAAGCACTAAGTCATCAGATTTTTCTTGGTCCAAGCCAATTTGTCATCTCACTTAACGGCATTTGGGCATATAACGAAGGGTGATTAACGGAGCATGTGTAAAACAAAGGTGAGTAACTGCATTTATAAATTTAAAAGGAAAGTGACCAAACTGAAAGTTATAATAAAGATCAATGACCATTTATGTAGTTTACCCAAAGGTAAAATCTAGGGTTTTGTAGGGAGGAGAATAAAGAAAAAAAAAAAGAGGCGATATGCCGTCGATAAAAATAAAAAAAAAGAGGGTTGCTTAATCTAAGCTTTCGAATCTAAGCTTTCGAAACTTACCCCCTCTCAATTCTTCCATGTCTCTCTCTATTATTATTATTTATATGTATTTTAAAAAAATAAAAATATAAGTTAAAAATATAATAAATTATAATTAATTTATATAAAAAAATTATAAAAATTAACATACATTTTTAATACTACTAATACATAAATAATTTTAATTGATTACTTAATTGAACTGAAGCAAATATTTATTTATTTTTTTTCTTTTTCCTTCCAACTCTCCAATTAAACATCAGAAAACCTAAAAATCAAAAGACAGAAAACAGCTCAAACCCAAAATCCGATTGGGCCTCCCTCACTTTGGTGTGACTTGGGCCCCTCGTGGCTCAAACGCACGAACCGTCCATCAGGATTTTGGGCTTCAAATGGGTACCGTTCCCGCCTAGATCCCAGATCGACGTGGCGACTTCCCCAGAGCCTGGGAAGCGCAGAGGGTTTATCAATATTCCTCCGAACTCCATTAGGAACTCCATTATTTGGGTTCAGGAAGTTCGGAAAGAAGGACAGTCGCGCACGGTCGCGCGTGATTATCACGAACCATAATGGTCAACAGATCGACAGTTAAGGTGGCAAAGGAGAAGACTTACTCGCCACTGCAAGCTCATCGGAAGCATGAAAGATCAAACCAGCGAGACTGACGTAGAGGATCGCGTAGGGCGAAAAGGAAGAGGAAAAATATGTTGGTGCTGATAGTTGCTTTGGTTGAAGAGAAGTAATGGCTGGTAATTTAGAAACCGGAAGAATAGGAGATAATCGGCAAAGATGGCAGATGGTGATGAGATGAAAGTAGCAAATTGAAGAGATGCTGACCGTTAGAGGGGAGAAGAATTTTTGCACGGTTAATTTTGTAGGATCATATTTATGGAAAACTAAGCATCACTCCCTAAAATTTAATTTTAAACGATGCGATTTTATTTAGTTAAAATTTAATTTAAAATTTAAAAATTTATTTTATTAAATA